AGGGTTTAATTGATTCCGTGAACACATTCGTAACTGTAAATGATATTAGTCCATTCCTGAGTCGTCCCCCCCCCCCGCCCAAAAAAACCAAACAAAAATGCTGTGATGTGTTTTAAATAAACAATGAGAAAAATGACATTCTATAATATTGTACTCTATAAAAACCTACAGTACACTCATTGACATAATTAATTCGAAAGGAAAACAGTTTTTGGCATGCTTTGTATCAATTTAATGACCCTTGGGCTTTTGGCCACCTGGGGGTAGTATAAAACAGACAGTTACACTGTACATGGACACTTGTACAGTTTAGACTTCTCAGTTTGTCTCAGCTCCTTGCATAGAATAAAGAATGTACAGCCTGGAGCACTATCTTGAATGTTCGAATGTTTTGCTGCACCATTTGTTCAAATGTATATATGTGTTTTCCTTTGTGTGATAGCAATACCACTAAGCTAGGGGAGTAAAGGATTCACCCATCAAACTGCTTAGTCAAAAACCGATCAACTTTTGACCCAATTTTGGGTCGTTTTGAAATGTTCAGTTCCAATGACCCAAGTAGTGGGTCAGCCCAATTTTGACAAAATTGGGTTATTTTTGATACAGCAGTGTTCAGAGTGTTTGATATGTGTTTGTTTTAAATACACAATGAATAATTCTCCTCGTTTTATGTTTAGTTCGACAGTAAATTTCAACACTGAGAGGCATTAAACGCACCTCTTTGTTGAAGAATTGCTCACTATTTGTCAAAGTGCTGTAAGTCTAGTCACTCATACGTCAAGGCACCACCGTATTTCGCCCCCCACCAACACACACATATTTATTAATGTTGTACATTGTTTTATGTATTATTATTTATGTAATTGGATTTTGGCTTCATCGATTTTTGAAAACACGATGTACTCGTGGTTAGCATATCAGCCTCGCTGTCAAAGAGATTTAGGTTTGAAAGTCCACCGTTCCACATTCCATAAACATACATGTTATCTTAAATTGAAAAGTCAGAATTGTCAAAAGGCGCAACTGTGAGTGTGGATGCTTGTTTTCTTGTCTTGTCTGTATGAGGCCTCTGATTTACAGCGTGGTTTCCCAAATTCCCAACAGCCAGAAAAAGGAACACACTTCTCTGCATTTCACCTACAAAAGCAAAAGCTGGCTCAGGGTGGAGATACATGCTTTTCCTTGGATTGCAACTTTATGGGTATTTCCATTACAACGGCCTGACACAATGACAACACTTCCTGTCGCCGCAGCAACGCTGGCACCGCACGAAAAACAAATGCTGTTAAATTGTTTGAAGGCCGGCACTCGTTTAGAGTGACTCGGGGTGGCTGTCGGACGTCGCCACATTTTGAGATTTGCCTTCCAAAGAGCATCTGTTCAATGGATCAGTGTGTTTAACATTGCTGGTAAAAACTTCAATGTTGTCGCTTTTTGCAGCAACTAAAAAGCATTTTTTCATCATTTGTTGAAGGCAATAAACCAATGTCAGGCTTTGTCACAGCTGTAAGACGTGTGCGGGGTGTTGGAAACGCTCAGAATAGCAACATTGCAAGTCACTGCAAGTCCTCTGTAGGAACTTTGGTTTTTGAGCCGAAGGGTCACAGGTCCGAGTTCCACTGTATTAGTGCTAGTTTTTGGAGAGATGCTAGTCTTCTTGTATGCTAGGTACCGCTGTTTTGGTTAGCAACAGTGTTTGAAAGTGAGACTTCTATTCGAGGGATGGCCAGTATTTGTGGAAACGTGGTGCTGTATACACGATACTATGTCAACTGTTAAACTAACATATCAATCTTGTGAAATTGGAGGCGTAGTTGAAAGACATTTTAATGGGACAAACAGATGAACAGTGGCTGTGCTGTGTCAAGCAAATTCATCAGCTCCTCTCAGACGTTAACCATGCTCGTATATCAGCGATATCACCTTTGATATTGACAGTCTGCCCATTTGTCACTACAACGTGGATTCAAATCCTCCATCGGCCGCTGCCAAGTTACGGCAGCCACGTGCCTCGCTTGCATGGCCCGAGGCCCTCCGAGTGTTTCCTGACCTATATTCCTGAAAGGCACTTCGTATTTTTCAGATTGTTATGGTTTCAAAACAACACCGGACTGCGCCTGATACATAAACAGCACTTTAAAATAAGGTCAGAGCAACATGAATAATGGTTAGAATCTATAAGATGGCCACTGGTGGGAGGTAACTAACTAAGGGTACTTTGTTACTGTATTTGAGTACCTTATCAGTATTTTGAGTATTTTTTTTTTTACTACTTTATCCCCATTTTGCTCAAACAGGCGAGTTGCATTTTTTCAACCTCTACAAACGACATAGAAAAAGACTTAAATACTAGAGAGACGTAAAGTTAACAACAGCTGAGATCTTGATTGACTGCTTGATTGAAAATTTGGGGGATTTACTGTGACAGAATTGCAGTACAGATTTAAGTTTTCACCTCTCTGTTGAAATGCCTGTTTTTGTGACTTAGAAATAATGAGACCGAGATAAATCATTTCAATTTTTTCCACCATGATTATATCCTATAACCTGTACAAGTCAATTATAATAATAATAATAATAATTAATAATAATAATTATGATTGCTATTTACCTTTTGAAAGGGGAAGTAAAACCAACTAAGATAATTAATTATAAACAGTGTCAAACAACTATCAATGTTGTCACAAAAACTTCAGGCTTCTGTTTGAAAGAATAAATAAATAAATAAAAATTGTAAAAAGTCAGGAAACGCCAATCATACATCTAGATCATACATATATGTCATAACATAAATGGACAAAAGTCCGCAGTCCAAACAATAAATTGTGGAAATCCTAAAAAGGGGATGAGTGAGAGTCTTTGGCTGCAATGGATGTGTGTGTAGGTGTGTCAACGTGTGTTTGCAAGAAGAAACGTGACCATATGGAAAACATTAGATGTGGGCTGAGTCAGCACGCTGGCATATTTGTGTGTTTGCACGTGAGCACAGTGTTGTCTGCCACCTCTAGGCACCGACTTGAGCCAAGCACCACACCCGGCCTCCCCCCACGCACGCACGCACGCACCCACACACACACACACACACCCACACACACACACACACACAACCCACCCACCCACACACACACACACACACACACACACACACACACACACACACACACACACACAGGAGATGGATGAGAAAACAGCAGCTGCTATCCTGGCTTCCTGTCGGAGCGGAAGTCAAACATCACACACTGTTAAACGGAGGCACGCCATCCTCTGTCCACACGGAAGGCCTGAATGGCTCAAACGTGACACATTTTTCAATGTTTGTGGAGAGAACGCGTTGGTCAAAATACTTAAAATAGTCTCGCTTAAGGAGCCTGGTTTTGCCTTAAAAAATATATACTTGCAAGGAGGGCGACTTTAGAGTGAAAATCACTGGCGGAAACTGGTCACCTACTCAAAATGAGTGTTTCCCCACATAAAATCAATGGAAAGGCAAATGTTGGTAACAACTTTCAGTGCTCCACATTGCTATGACTCACGATATAGTCTCTTTAGTTCAAGTTTTTTGCACAAAAGTGTATTTTTCTCACCCATGGTCATGTTTTCAGAAAGCGATATATCGTAAACCCCTGTGAAAAAATGTGAGCAATTGACGCCTCCCCTAAGAAGGTTTATAATTGCCGCTATCAATAATTTGAACTGAAAATCCGCAAGCTCCAATGCCGAAGCATTTTAATATCATTTCAAACTCATCTTAAAACATTACCGTTTAAAATAAGATGATTTGATTATGAACAAATTTCCATGCGCATGTGGCGGCGACTACCAGAAACTTTCCCTTAATAACCCAGGCAAAACTCCATCTCTGCTTCTTCATACGATGATCTTTTCGCTTAGTGGAACTGTATCAGTTCAACAATACCCCCTTGACACCAATAACTACTTACCTACTAAGCACAGCTTTGGCGCCATCTTGTGGTATCTCATGGCATTATGGAAAGAACATATAAATATGCAAATAGGCCAATTTGTGAACTGTCAATAGGCAGGGGTTCACTGGATGAGAACATTAGAGTTTTATCAAAAAATGGACCAAAGGCACAACAACATCTTAAAGTCTACCTCCAGCAGCCTAAGTATTAATGGGGAAATGGAGCAATATTGTCAAGTGTGATAAATATCATTTTTGTGTCTGCCAAAATAATCCCCCAGCTTAATTTTAATGCCCGGAGCCAAGTCGTCAACTGACCTTGCACCCACCAGTTGCTATTGAGTGATGGGGCAGATTGCTTGCCTATTGACGTAAATCTGTCTTTTCTTATTTATTTATTTTCCCCACCAGGTGACCCCAAGTAAGCCGTCATACCAAAGGTCTTTCCAAACTTTCAAAAAAAAAAAAAAAACCCAAAAAAAACAATCCACTGCCAGGCAGATTGCAAGCGAGCGTGTCAATGCCGCCCGCTTTCTCATTCCTACAGCGAGATGTCCCGGGATTCACCCTGCTGGTTAGATAACCACAAATGTGGCATCCAGACTTGGATATATATTTATTTATTTAAATGGAAAGGATGTAACCTGACCTGCACCATAGACGGGCTTTCGCCTTCCCCTGCGGTGGCTGATTATTTATTATGCACTGCAGCAGAGGCCTTGTCTGACACAGAGTCAGCAAAACAGGCATCGTCAGTGATGGATTGTTGGACCTTCCATCAGTATTGACCCTGCGAAATTGTGAGAGTGACTCAGATTTGTCAGGATCGAAGCAAGAATATGCCATATTGAAACGTGGAGACGGCCCGGCAGCTGTGTCAAGGCTCCGCGTAGGTTCTCAAGAGCAATGATAAGCTTGCGTAAATACAATCCAGTGTAACAAAAACCATGTTTGGATACACACACATACTTTTTTATTTTCCAAAATAAAATGGAATGAATACAATACACCATTTCTTTTGAGCATCTCAAAAACGAAATGCAAATCTAAGTACACACCAGGCCCTGCACAGCACTGTAAAACTGCTAATGTCTCATTGAATAACATACAGTAAAAATGCTTTGATTGTTTTGTTGACATTTGGACAACTGGAACACTTAGAAAGGTCATTTGTCATTTATGCTAAATTGACATCATGTGAGCAGGCAGACCGGAAGTCAGCACGCTGGTTGCCAAAATGGTGCACTGGCTGGATTATTGGACTCCTATTGGCAACAAAAGTTCAAAAGTAGGAATTGGACAGCACTTGAGACAAATCTATGGTAAACATATGAAATGATGACTTTCTATGCGGACAGACCTTCGCTGGACCTTGAAAACCACCGCCAAAGTTGTCAGTCTCACTGTGCCACCTCTCTTCTATTATAATGAATGATATATTGCAAATTATGTCACAAAAAAAGTGGTAACAATTCGTGTTAGGCAACTTTCAAACTTGAATAAGGAATGCTATCAATGTCTTGGCTAACGTTGGCTTGTACACAGTGCACATCATAGGTGAACACACCCGTGAGTGGTGTTGCTTGGGTCAGGGAGAACATAGTAGTTAACATAGATGTCTTTTGTTAAACTGGAATAGGATCAGTTGACAAGAAGAGAGGATGCAGTTAGTTTAGGGGTGGAAGAAAGGGGGTTTGAAAAAGGAGGGGTAAGGGGATGAGGTTGTCGGGAAGGAGGGGGTGATGCTCCTGCAAAGCCATAAAAAGGGGAACTTGGACTTTGGAGCTTTGCAGTCACTTTTGCCGGCAGCCACAAACACTCCTCTCCATCCCCCTCCTCTCTCGCTTACTCAACCCTTCATTCATCAGGAACCCTCTGCAAATCCAGTGAGTATTTTGCAACTACTGTGTACATATACACTTACAAATGCATGCAGGCAGTATGTATTTATGACTGCAAGTAGCAGTCGAATTTGTGCCCACTAAATCAGGATATTAGCATTATTTCGGCAAGGACTTATTGTCATGTAACTATGTGATCTGTGTGAAAGGTCGTTGAAGGTGCTTGAAACGTCTGTTCACTGATCAATGTATTTTGAGAAACATCACAATGTGTGGACAAAAAACACCTGCTGCATTAATTTATGGGATTGAATATGGCAACTGTACATGCATAATTATGATTACTATATATACACAGTTTGTGTAGTGTTGATCGGGCATTTATAGATAATGCGCAGACTGAAGTGGATGTGAACAGCAGTAAGACCAGTCAGCAGCGCTGTGTGCAATATAAAAAAATATATATGTGTATCAACAGTCTATAAATATGCAATTGAAAATGGAACAAACGTTACATTAGTAAATAGATATGATACTGAAAACGCAGAAGTGAATGTGACCAGCAGTAACAATAGTCAGCAGCATTGTTTGGAGCAAAATATATCTATGTACAGTATCTATAAGTAGTCTACATATAAGTAATTGAGAATGAAATAAACAGCATCAATACGAACTAAATAGGTATAGAGATGTGAACGTGAACAGCGGCAAGAATAGTCAGCTGTGTTGTATGATGAAAAAAAATATGTAAAAGTACAATACACGTGGCAGTAAGTACCGGTAGTCTACTTATAAGCAGGTGAGACTGAAATACTGCAAACAAGAGTAATCCTGAGTCAAAAGATATAAATACAGACATGGTTATGAACATCAGAAAGCAAGAGTGAGCATTTTATGGAGCAAAAATATATATAAAGTACGTGGATCAACTGTCCCAATCAGCTGGGACTGAAAGAAACAGCAATTCCAAGTAGACAGATACTCCACATGAGAACGTGAACAGCAGCAAGATAAGTAAGCATGCAGTGTTGTATGTAGCAAAAAAAAAACAAAACAAAAAACAGACAAAAAAAAACCCAGTATATATATATGCAGTTGCGAATGAAATATTATCCATACTACGAGTAACTGTGTGTACAATAAGTATGTTTTTTTGTGTTTTTTATATGAACAGCAGCAAGAATAGGAATTTTACGCAGGATAAAACTTATATGTATCAATTGTCCAAATCAATGGGAAATATGGGCATATTTTTGGGACTGTCCATTTCCATTAAGACTCATCTTTTTGTTTTCCTTAGTCTCCTTTCCAACTTCTCCCGCCTCATGATCATGGATGCCTCGACAAGGATCTCCTCCCCAAGCGATGCCCTCCTCCACCTCGTGGTGGTCACGACTCTGATGCTGAGCCACGGCGTCCATCCGATGCCCGTGCCGACAGACGTCCCCATGTGTACCGCCTCGGAACCAGCCCAGTACAGCTTGACTTTTACCGGCAAATGGACACAAGCGGCATTCCCAAAACAGTATCCCGTCTACCGCCCCCCTGCACAATGGTCCAACCTTGTTGGTGAGTTCACTCATGATGACGAACTACGGTGCATTGCAATAGCGCAATCTTATAGACCAACAGCAACGTAAGGACTTTACACTACCTTTGGAAAGACTGCTTAAAAATTCAGTCACTGAAGCCAGTTTCGCTTAGCAACACATAATTTGGTGGCTACGTCAGTCCTGACTACACTCACCAAAAAGTCTCAAGAAGCCTTGCCCATCAAGACACATGATGTCTCCCATTTTGTTTTGAAGCAGGCATTGTAGAGTCATCATTTTCAGGGTGAGATGGAAAAGTGATGTAGTAAAAGTAATTTGGGTGACACAGTTTGTTGACTCACCATAAAACATGGAACACTTCATAGAATCCCCCCAAAATTATGAGTCTGAAGCCAATTTTACCGAGCAACATGAAATTTGGTCTGTGTTGCTCTCATGAGTCGATCCACAAGAAAATCTCGAGAAGCCACGCCTAAAGACAAAACAAGTCTGCTATTCGGTTTTTCTATTTCCAGGTATCCTCCAAAGCAAACTTTCTAGAGATTTTGAGTGATTGCTACCACATTAGAAGCACGTATACCAGACAAACGCGCGATACAAAAAGATTTTGCGTTTTTGCCTTTGCCTGTGGGGTGTGGCATGGTGTCGAAGTTTGATGACTTACAATAAAAAAAAAAAAAAAAATGAAGATCTACTTCCTTCTATGTGTAAATGCTGCATACTCATATAAAGTCCATTATTTGTAACTAGATGAGAGGTCAATGAGCCCTATAGACAACCATGACAGCCAGTGCGCCTAAGACCCCATAGCTGACAGTAATTAAGTGGAATGGTAAAACCCTCATGAAATATTTGGACTGGTTGAGTGACAGAACCAAATGAGTTCAATGCTGCTTGGTCATTACTCACAAAGTAGGTGAGGGCAAGCTAAATTAACAAGTGAAAAAAAGAAAACAGCCACATGAGAAAAATCAAATCATACCTAAGTGTTGTAATGAGCATCGGATCTCTGAGAGATATGGAAAAACCATATGAATTCCTGAACCCGATACCCCGAAAAGTATTAGCTTAACAGGGATGGAAGTAAATTGGATATAAAGTTATAAAGCTATAAAGAGACTAATTACAATGCCTCTGTAATAAATACACCACGGTGATCCCCCCGTCTTTCCTCCTTCTGCCCTTAGGTGTGACCCACAGTTCCGACTACCACATGTGGCAGCGTAATGGCTTTGCCAGCAACGGAGTGAGGGAGTTCACGGAGAAAGGCGAAGCTTGGACGCTCATGAAGGAAGTGGAGCAGGCTGGGGAACAGATTCAGAGCGTTTATGGCATCTTCTCAGCTCCTGCGGTCATAGGAGGCACCGGCCAGAGCAACACTGTGGTTGAGGTCTTTGCCAGACACTCCTATGTGAGTTGCTCACATATCTGGTTTGACAAATACGCGGTCGGGGCTTTGATCAAACCCTGTCAGAGGTCAGCGTATGATAGACAACAGCGGCCTGGACAAGCCTGTCATTCTCTGAAGGTTTTTTACATTCAATGAAGGCCCAAGTAAAGAGGGGCAGAGGCAAGTGGAGCATGTATGACCTCAATGCAGCTGCCATACATCAGGAGCCCTACCACGAGGACAGCTTTACTACTTCTCAGACAAAAAATACCGAACAGAATGAGGGAAAGGGTCCTTAAAACAGTGGCTTTGCCGTTTTTGGCTGCTGCATCTGTCAGGAATGTTTATGACTTGACACGTTACGCAAAGCTAAGCAAGAGCAGGAGGGTTGAACTTGCAGTGTGGTCATATAGTTGGAGGGATGTGTCTGGCCATGTTTGAGGTTACAATGTATGCAGTCTTAACCAACGTAAGGCTTCGGTGTTGTAGTCAGTGACTTATCTTACAAATGGATTGCATGAATAGCTTTGAAGAACATGATGAGACTATCTCTTGTCAATTCTCCAGCTGTCGTTTATCGTGCGACTTGTTCCGAGCCCCGACTGGTTCGTGGGAGCAGATAGCATGGACCTGTGTAATGGCGACCAATGGAAAGACAGCATATCTCTGGAGCTCTTCCCTTATGACGCTGGGACCGACAGCGGTTTCACGTTCTCCTCGCCCAACTTCGAGACTATGCCGCAAGACAAAATCACCCAGGTAGGACATTCAGCGATGGGCAACCACATGAACGTAAGATGGACATTCATGGTGCTGGCATTTCAGGTGGACTGTAGGTCTTTAGCAGTTGGTGCAAAGGCCCTCTGACATTATTATTCTTAGGCCATTTGAGGGATTTCCCTTACTCAAAACATTATTGCAGGCTTTTTCAGCCTGGTGAAATTGTGGTCAGGTTATTGAAAATTCAGCGCCCTGGCACTAGCATCACTTGGAAACACGACATTTAGTAGGCATGCCCATTGTGAGTTGACACATCCAAAGTCATTTTGACGATTGACGATAAACTTTTCCGAGCCAGTTTCATTTGGCAACATGAGATTTGGTAGGCATGTCTATCATGAATAGACCCACAAGAAAGTGTATCATATTGGTTTAAAACTGACATTTTGGGGTCATTTTGTACTGTTCAAGGGTCCTTCAAAGATCTTGCCCAATTACTACCAAATTTCAACTGCGCGGACTAGACAGACGGGCGACGCTCCGTTGAACATGAACGCAGCTCTCTATCTTGAGCAAATGTCTTAATCTGTCTGTTACAATTAAGAACATCTTTATTCATCCAAAAATAATTTCCTGCCTCTTTCCATTCGTAGATAACCTCATCCTTCCCCAGCCACCCTGCTAACTCCTTCTACTACCCCCGCCTCAAGCACCTCCCACCCATCGCCAAGGTAACGCTGACCAAGATAAGGAAGACCAATCAGATCATTAGCCTTCCAGTGAAGCCCACCGAGTCCAACCTGCTGCTGACGGGGAATGAGATTGAGAACAACCTCATAAGTAAGTCAGAGGAGTAACTAGTCACGCCTGGGCGTAGATTAGTATTTTTGGTCAAGTACTGTTACACGCAAATGAGGTATTAACCCTTTCAGGGACAGCGGTTACTATAGTGGACAGCTTATCATGTTATCGGGTTACAGGGTGCACAAAAGGGTTCAAGAATAAAATTACTTATTAAATAATATGTGTGCTCTAAACAAATGTACAGATATAAAACACATTTGTTGAGTGTGAGTCCATGTCGGATATAATCAATAAGCCATTAAACAGCTCATATGCAAAAAAACGAAAAAAAAGCATGTGATGAGTCTTTGTGATTTTAATTTTAATGCAACAAACTGACTACATATGCTGTAAGAACTGCATGTGTCATAATATTACTAGTTGCCAACAACCCAAACATTGACTAACCACCAAAAGAGTGTATCAACAAGTGTATGTCGCATCTACAAACTAACATGTTCTGCATGCATTAGGGTCAGCACTTAATTTCAAAGAGGAGCAGAAAGAAGGGAAAAAGGCACATCTGGCATCTTGCGGAAGAGAGATGATTTAAAAAAACGACAGCGATAATATAGGTCAGCCACCCAAATGGGAGGCGGACGCTTATATTTCCACAAGAACACTATTAATGAGGTGAAGCTCCATTCAGTCTGCGTTGAGTCATAGACATAGTTGCTGTTTGCGAATCCCTGTTGCACGGATTAAGTGAGCCAAAGCAGGAAGCTTAGAAAAATACAGCTCTTTTTACAAGTTAAGACAACCACATGGCGGTCCTGTTGATGTTGGATGGGAGGGCTATGGGAATGATTCATCTTTCGGCCCAACAATCAGGGACGTTTTCAAGAGTTGAAGAATCAAGGAAAATTACTGGGTTTTAAACATAAAAATATTGTCAGAGCAATCTCAGTTGACAAAGACCCGCCCAATAAATCTGACAACACCATCATATGTAAAGCAGACCAGTAGTTTCTGGTGTCAATGAAAACATCTTTGGTAAGTATTGCTGCTCTAATGCTGGGTTGCTGAATCATCGATTTAACACTGAGACCTGATAAGAGTCTCTGTGGTCATGTCAACAAACGGTCCAAACAGTATTTATTATTTTTTTTTCTGTTCTTGCAAACAGTCCCCAAGGTCTCATCCATAGTTTTGTCATTCAATTATTCCTCAATATTCCGAAAGAGTAAAAAAGATTACATTCATGACCGATTCACAATCACCTTCTTGAACTTGTTTCTGTGTAATATATTCACAGATGTACCAATTTAGGCCAAGATTGACTGACGGTATTTCATTCTTTAGCCCACTAATGTCTTCCCTGTGTCCTTAATGGACCTGCAATATGAAGCCGGATCAGCCTTGAGGCAATCTTCCAGCAGGCCATCCATCCTTCTGTGCTGCCTCCGTGCCTCGCCCCTCCTTCTGTTTTTCTACTTTCAGATGAAACAAATTTGTACTCTTTCTCTGACTTCATAGGCTGCCTGAGGCATTCCCTTGCTTTTCAATTTGATTCTTGAAAGATACACACTTAAATGTACAGGTTTGCACACAAAAATGTTGGTCTGGTTCTGAAAGAAGCACCGGGGGTTGTTGCTTGGTGCTCGTTTTTTCATGACCCCACTTGCCTCACTGGAAAAACAAAACAAAATCCATGGAATGTGGATAGCACTCCATGTACATTATTTTTAACCCGAATATAAAGTGCAGTAAGTTACAATTAAATGTCTCATCTTTAAAGTACCATAGCCTTGAAATTACATGAGAATAAATTGTGCAATGCAGAAACGCCGCTGGACTGCGAGGTGTCGCCATGGTCTCCCTGGGGCTTGTGTAAGGGCAAGTGCGGAGATGCGGCGGGCCTGCAGTACCGCACGCGCTATGTCCTCGTGCACCACGCCAACAACGGAGCACCCTGCCCCCTGCTGGAGGAGGAGCGGAAGTGCGTGCTGGACAACTGCTTATGACTAGGCCTGGAAACTAGGCAGGAGAAGAAGAAGCGGAGGGACGAGGCAGGAAAGAAGGACCTGAAGAAGCGGCGAGGGCGAAAAAGACGTCGTAGGAGATACAACATTAAACAGTCTGCGGTTTATTTACTTGAGTCGTGAACTGGACCTGCTCCTTAGTCAGTGTGAAAATAAGCTTCAAATGAGTCCTAACGATGGATCTGAGATCAAATGAGAGGTGTACTTTGATATCATCACCATGAAACATTGATTCAATGTGCAGGTGATCAAAAAGTGGATTGAGGATTAATCAAACAGAAGAAGAAAAGAATGTATTTATTTTCACATACAAATATGAACGTAATCATTTTTCTTCGTTTTTGTAACACTATTTAGGTGCTGGTTTCATGCAGAAAATATTTTTGTACAAAACAATATGACAAATATAAAAAAAAATTATATCTGTATTGTCAATAAAATTGTGTTGATACAGTGGTGTTTTCTTTGACATAACCCCCTCACACACAAAAAACAACGTTAGTATTTAAGGATTGAAATTTAAAACTACACTTTGTTAAGGTTCACTGATGCTTTATGTTTGACGATCGGGGGAAAAAAAGAAATTAACAGAACAGTCGATGTCATGGTTGTCTATAACACTATTGGCTAACATTCCATCCATCCATCCATTTTCTAATCCACTTATCCCCACTAGCCACACGGGTGTGCTGGAGCCTATCCCAGTCAGCCCATCTTCGGGTAGTAGGCAGGGGACACCCTGAACTGGTTGCCAGCCAATGGCAGGGCACACACAGACAAACAACCATTCACACTTACAATCACACCTACGCATAATTTAGAATGTTCCATTAACCTGCCACGCATGTTTTTGGAATATGGGAGGAAACCGGAGTACTCAGAGAAATCCCACGCAAGCACGGGGAGAATATGCAAACTTCACACAAGAAGGCCAGAGCCGGAATCTAACACATGGCATCTGCACTGTGAAGCCGATGTAGGAACCAGTCAACCACCATGCTGCTCGGGTTCATATAATATTTAAGAATTTAAATTTCGTTATAGACCTAAGACCTAAGCATTTGTTTGATAGTTTGTATTCCGTGCCTTTGCCTGTCCGTATTTCTGTCCTTCTAACTGAATCTTGCAGGTTCGAACCAAACTGCTATATGAATTAATAAGGTTTGATGGATTAAAATGTCCCAGTACCAGCAGTGTTGGGATTCGAATCAGCTCTACGTGCTTTTGAGGTGTTTAACAACCACACACGTTGATCGCAGTTTAAAATATACATACTAGGAGCATGAATAAGCCTTTGACGTATGCAACCATAAACTAGGCAAAGCTACTCACCGACCTTCAAACAAATGATCAACCCTGCGAGCCTTGAAATCACACTCTATGCTACTGCACATTTAAGAAAGTATTAGATAATCCCATTTAATGTTCAAAGCAGACACACTTGCGACTGTGACGGAGAAATCTGTCTCATTTCCTGAATTATACCATTTCCAATATGTAAAACAGACACAAACGGGCATACGCTTTGACTCTCAACTCACTGGAAGAGAAAGATTGAATAGCAATAGCACACGTCTGCTGGCTTTGACTGATGACAGATGGGGAAATGAGTGAAAGACACAATGAGCAGACGCTGGAGGAGAGCGGATACGATTTCCAGCTCTTTAACTTGAACGTTTACTCTGCTTAGAAATGTCATTCGCTAATGTCAAACGGATCCGTATCCCATCGTGTTCAGTTACTCATCACAGGCACGTTTACCTTTTGAACAAATACACCTCATGGATATGGTGGCGAGAGATATGCTATGGCAGTACGTCAAATTTGAAAACTCATTTGAAACTGCACCATCCAAACGTGAATAAGGGGAGGGCCCTCCCCCCCCAAAAATAAGCCCTCCCCTCCCAAAAATAAGCCCTCCCCTCCCAAAAATAAGGGTAGTGACAGTGTTTTTCATTTGTTTGTTGAACATTTATGGCATCGTGTTTTTCAAACACATATTTAATGTTTATGACTTTACTAGCGATATGACACGTTAGCATAAATTAGTGCAGGCTTTCATAACTTTTTGTGTGCCAATGTGTATATTTTACCTCTGAAAATTCTCATGACAGACCACCAAACGAAAATGGCACAAAAAGTAGTATATATTAAAATAATGATGACTCTGTTTCAATGTACTCACAAAGTGATTTGCACTGTACGGAATCTGTGGCTGTTGGGTAGCTACTACTGTGTATTTTCAGACTATAAATCATGTTTTTTTTTCATAGTTTGGATGTTTCTGTGACTTAATAGTCCTAATAAAGATCATGCATGTAAAATTGCATTATTTCCCATAGCACGCCTGACGATGTCTCACAAAATGGCTGGGAATCATTGCCTTCTAGCCAAATACAAACCCAACTGTGATCTTAGACCCAAGGTCCACACCAAACCCTAATTTTTGCCATACAGTACTATTACCGGAGATGGGCACTTGACCCTATTTTGCCCATCTGACCTCTGTCCGTCACCTGGGTACCCTTCCGTCATTGTCCCTCCATCCTTATTCATACAATACTCATCCTCCATCCCTGTCCCGTCCCAGTCCCCCCCCCCCCACAACTCCCTCCGGTCACCAGAGACCAGTCTTAAAGGGAGCACATGAAATGCATGATTGTCTGATGTTATCCTAGCTCAGTTTTACGATATTTCCCGAATTTATGGCTAATATTAAAGCCACTTGCAATATGACGCATGGGATGACATATTGCTTTGATCCGGTTCAACAATTGTCTGTTACAGAATTGAAAAGAAAAAGGAAAAGAATATTTATATTCATTTTAGATTTCCAAAGACTTTATGGCTCTCACGGGATCTTGTATAAAATGGTTCCAATGCCTCTTTAGTTGCCGACACTGATGTAATATTGGATGTCCTTTCTCACTTGTCTTACAGTGATGCAACATGACAGTCTAAACCCGTAATGTGGGAATCAAAATGTCGCCTCATGTGCCAAAACTGCAATCTATTACTTAATGCTTAGAATGATCGCCCAAGTATTAGGGATTTTAGAGTGTTTTCCTCTTCATAAAGGCGCTCACTACAAAGCTTATGTCACTTCACGACAGAAATGCGTCATCCATAAAATACAAAACACACAACATGTCTTACCACATTACACAATGGCACAATGTGCAGGACTCGCATGCAAACACTGACATATTCATCGTGTAGACGCTTGCCTACCAAACATTAATTTCAGTAACGCCGTGATTGGTTGTTACGGATAAGACTGGCCATCAATCAAACGAAAATGACATCACTGTTTCTTTATGTTTTTAACGTCTCATTGATAAAGCGACTCAACATTAGAATTTCACAACACAATAATAGCTAACATGATAAAATAAAATAATTTAAAAACTTTACTTTTAGAAATCTGTGCCTCGAAATGGCATAAGCATCCTGGTGGGTGGGCACCGAGAGGCACACAACACAGCCAACTTTCTTAACCGGCTGGATTGATCGTTAGTGAAATGGGTGTCCGTAGGTACTTTGTTATGTTCTCTGACTGTACACTAGGTGTCAATGTTACTTTAAAACTTCTTTTGCGATGAAAAAGGTTGTGCTATTTAATAGCCTGTTAAGAAAATACAGTGTTTTGGCTACACTCTGGCCTTGTTTATTTGCCTCCCGACACCACATACTTAACCCGGTTAGGGACGATTAAAGGGATGGACGAAAACCCACTTCCGTCCTTGCTTAGTCCTTCCTTTTGAGAAAATCTTCTCGTCCTCCGTCCCAAAAATGGGCGTCTGTCCGAGACGGATGGACGGACCGTTCCTTCCCAGGGGCGGAATGCCCATCTCTGACTATTGCCAGTACACTTGAAGTTATCTCTATCAACTGTGGCTGCTTTGCCAGCATACATAGGTAATTTTGACCGTGCTCATTGGATCGACCCATACCTAGAACAGCACGGAAAGGCCAAGTAACTCAGTGATGATCCAAAACGGAGAATTGTATATAAACTCAAATTGGTAAAGTTTTTTGAGTCATTTGTAAACCAACAGTAGATGCTGAGATCATCAGTTCAAACAATTATAAAGATGTACAAGCTATTCTGATTCTTGAATTAAAAGCCTATGATTAATTCAACAGTCATTCCCATGATGAGAGCATGTGTGTGACCGCAACTGTACTGAATCGATTTTGACACTTGTACGATCAATGGTTTCAGATTTTGGAAATGACAGATTTACTCTACTTACTGTAACTCTGGCTGCCAAAAAGAATATTGATTCAGCATTCACACCAAGGTGTGGGAGGACATGGAGATGTGATACTTTTGAGTGCGAGGGGACGATGACAACTTTAACAGATGCTCTCTTTGAGAAGAGAATCTATTCTCTGCGGACATGTGGGTGTTAACATTATAAATGACCTCATGTAAGGCAAGTATGCTGATGTCAGTAAGGTAACCTGAATAGTGTGGTTTATATTCATGCTATTCCCTAAATCTGAGATGTATTTGTCAAAATTGAAAGAATGGATGGGGTGGGTGGGTGTTCGGGGAGTGGGAGGTTGGTTTAATGAGTAATTTTATCATTTGTATCCGCAGAGTTTGAAGGGCAGCACATGTAAATTGTGCACCTTACAAGCTTTTTATGAAGCTGATTATGTCTTGACCACGGAGCTGGGTGATTATGGAAAAAAATAATAATGACAATCGCTTCAACTGATCCTGAAATCATGACTAACAAACATGAATACTGTATATATTGATTTCAAAACACTGTACTTATTCAAATACCAAAAACTCAAATAACTTGTAAAAACCTCACCCATACGTGTTGACTGACTAATAAGATAGATTTGTGAACAAAATATATTAATGAAACTATGAACATTGGAGTTTTTTGGCCCAATGTACATGAAATGTACATGGAAATAGCAAAAAAATATATACATGTACCATACATAAAAATTGACTATTGACATTACTTGGGATTTAGGCACTTACACCTACAATGTAAATCCAACATTAAATAGAGAGAGTTTAATCATTGATTTTACAAATGAAAATTTTGATATTTTCTTCCTGTCTGGAGAGAACAGGATCATGACGAAACTTTGGTAAGCTGCAATTGGCTGCCAAGTTTACCAGTCACACCACTTAACCAATATCTTTTCACACAAAGCAGCACCTGCGACTTTCTCACACTCGGCAGCCTCCAGCATATGCATGCTGTGGACTTTGGAAAACCCATTTGGCATTTGCAGACCTGTTCTGTTGGATCCACCCAACCAAATTAGATTCATAGGCCTCAGCATGAGGCTGCAATGGGCCGGCTTTTTCCTGGAGGCTTACCTGACGCTGGCGGCCGCCATGTATATCGATCTGGGCGAGCAGGAGGAGCGATGCATCATCGAGGAGATTCCCGAGGGCATGCTGGTGACGGGTGAGTTCTGGAGAGAGGATATGAATGACCCAAAAACAATGGACAGAGGACCTCAGAAAAACGAATGAATGTGTCTTGTAAAATGCGATGACTTATGGCACGAGACTAAATGAGCGTATTGCTTTCCCGCTCAGGACATTTCCTGTTGCAGCCCTGGGACTTGAAGTCATCCACGCACTCACCTCACCTTGGCGTGACTGTGACGGTCCGGGACCCCAACCATGAGGTACGGTAGAGGAAGTTCTTGCAATAAATAAGCAGTGACATGAAAAAAAAGTATTAGCCCCATGCCTGATTTCAGATTTTTTTTTAATCTAGCATAAATGTTTCAGATCATCACAGCAATTTCAATTTCTCATCAAGACAACACAAGTAAATATATGTGAAAAAGTAATTGCCAAACCACAAAACAAAAACGTTACATAATATTATGTGCGGCTGATAATGGAAATACTGTAAATATTAAATGAAATGTATTAAGTAAAAATATAGTTCATCCAAATTGAGTAGAATTTTCTGTATGACACTCAAGTACTAAAATATTTGAAAGCTGCAGCCCAACATTCGACCTCCCCGTCATATTGTCATATTTTTATTGTTTAATAAAACCCTTGCTTCAGGTGCCCGGGATTAAGCGGCAAAAATTGCTCCTCAAATTTAGTCAATTGCTCCTGAAATGAAGTTGTTAACAATATTCCTCCTCAAGAAAAAAAGTTGTTTCGATCCTTGTTGTTATATATGATCATGATAACGGTGCTAAAACCAATTATTTGCTGGCCCAAGACTTACGTACAGTATTGGATATATATAAAATGTTCAGTGCTGTTAAAAAATATCAAGAGTTTTATGTTAAATTGTCCTCAAGTGTTTAAAAATGTTTCCAATTTTTATCAGAAGTATTCAATGAGTATGCTTCTAATTTTCTCAATGAATACAAATACAAATGTATTGAAGTTCTTCATCTGTCAGAGATTATCAGCAAGGTCTTGTTTTTAAATTTTTCTCATCGTATCCTTTCAGTGTCTGTATCAAGGTATTATAAATACAGGCATTGTACAGGTATCTAAGTCAAACTTTTGGTATCATGACAACACTCATTAAAGTATTATAGAACAATTCAAATGTGTCAGTATTTCTGCTTTCACTCCTCATAACATTAGGTTTTGATGAGCAAGCGCTACGGCATCTTTGCAAAATTCACCTTCACGGCGCACGCGTCTGGTCAGCACTTCCTCTGCTTCCAAACCAACTCCACCAGTTTCTCCGTCTTTGCTGGAGAACGTCTGGTAAAACCTGCAAACACACATAAGGCTTCGTTTGTATTTATTTACTTTTAAACAATCAAGATTCTTCTTCTGTTTGGCAGAAGTTACATTTGGATGTTCAGATAGGTGAGCATGTGATGAATCCGAAAGCCGATGGAACCAAGGACAACCTGAAGATCCTGGAATACGGCCTGCAACATCTCATTGATCAGATGGTGTATATTACCAAGCAGCAGGATTACCAGCGGGTAGGACTGGGCGATATGGCCTTAAAATAAAATTTCAGATTTTTCAAAAAACAAAAACACTTATTTTACTATTTTACGGTCATGAATTTCATCCCCCTCTTGCTTATACTGTAATAAAGGTAAAAAGACAATATGATTCAAAACAAGTTTTGCCTTTTGTTGTTTTATCCCCCTGATGGGATTTGCTTTATTTTTCCTGATACCAGACAAGCTTTGAAACTGTTTTTTTTTTTTACCCAGCGTTCTTTCCTCCCTTAAATTTCCACAACAAAAACAAGCATATTTTTGTCTTTACAAGTTAAATTTTTTTGTTTTTTTGTTTGCACAAACAGACAACCTGAATAGATGAACATTTTAAATGTACCATTCAATCCATCGATTATCAACACCGCTTATCCTGAAAAGGGTCTTGGGAACCTATCCTAGCTGACTTCGGGCAGAAGGCAGACTATACCCTGAGCTGGTCGTCAGTCAGTCACAGGGCACATGTAGAGATAAACGACCATTCACACCCACAGCCACACCTTCGCTGAGTGGGAACCGAGCCCATGCTGCCCACACACGAGTCCGGCGAGTGCACCACTACACCATCAGCGACTTGTTCAAAAACTGAACATTATAAATCGCCGTGATGTCGTGATCTTGACCAATGTTCAGTGCCACTGCCTGGGATTGCGCTTGACCAGTCTCCTTTCTTTGTTATTTTTAAAACATTGTCATATGTATTTTGCTCTTTTACTTCTTAGCAGGAATGAAAGTCGCAAATCACTTAAAAACAATAAAAATGTCACTTACAATGATTGGAAAAGACACAAAATATATTGACCAAATTGGTAGTTGGCAACACTGCTTTTGTAAAGTAATTCCTCTCTGCTCATAGCCATGTTGTTCTGCCGGCAGTGCAGACAAGTTGGGAAACATTTTAACTGTAGAAATAAATAAATACATATGTCCCAATCTTCTATTTAACATTACAAAGTAGTTGATAATGTAAGATGTTGTTGTTGCCAACAGGAAAAGGAGGAGGCCTTCCGGCAGATCAGTGAGGACACACACAGTACCGTGCTGTGGTGGGCCATGGTGCAGACCTTCCTCCTGCTTTCGGTCGGTTTCTGGCAGATGAAGCGGCTCAAAGATTTCTTTATCGCCAAGAAGCTCGTCTGATCACCACCTGCCAATCATGGGAATATCACTTGTTGTCATTTAGTTCTAGTACATTAAGGCCATGATGATTTGTTTTGGATTTAGAACTCTCATCGACAGCTGTATTATCACTTGTGAGTCAGCATTTCATCACCAAACCACCAAAATAAACATGTCAATCAGTGTAGTGGTGTAGCCTGTGACATCACCAAACAAAAACACCTCCATACTCACATCAACAACTTTATTTAACATTGTTATAACATTATTTTCAAAAGCTAGTGCAATTAAGACTGTTTGCTTGTGCCTATCTGTGGTAAAACTGCAGCTCTGCTTACCTTTTGACTCTTGCCATATAAATGTAGAAGTGGTTCTTTTGCTCTGGAAGTTTTCCCATCCTGGCCAAGGTTTCCAAATCACTCCCTAAGAAACTCGGTGTTGGGCAGTTATGTAAATTAGCCCTGCTGTGAAGTCAATAATATAGTAATTTCAAAACACTGGCTCACAGACAGAAATTCATTACAGTATTAGGCAGATATCTGAAGATTTACTTGTGTAATTTCACATTTGATGGGTTGACAGGTACACATTAAGACAAAATCTGCATGTATACTGTACTAACATCAAAAATAATTTTACAGATGCACCATAATTGAAGTCAAATTGTGTACATTATGATTAAAAATAAAAAAAGACAAGTGTATAAACTGCCCACGACCAACAATCTGGGGGATGGGCTTTAAAGTTAATTTTGATAAATGGCTGGCTCTACTTGTGTTGGGCTCAAAGAATAATAACCAAAAAAAAAAATGCCAAAGTAGATGGACACCGAATGTATGCAGTTAACGGACAGCTGCTAACAGCTAACCGTTTGACTGCGTTGCGGAGGGCCGCCCGAAGTCGCAATCCAGTATCAAATATTGATTTAATAAATAGTTTATAGCACACTTGATTCGTGTGAGGGTTAAAATAACGAGAATGCGACCCTCGGGATGTCTTATTTTCGGTGGAGACCCAATTTAACCCTAGCTAAGATTTAGTTAAAAGAATTTTAAAAAACACCGGGATAACCACCACAGGCGCTGACACTAGTTATCGGGTAAATCTAAATTTATTGATAATGCCTTACTCGTTTAAAAAGTTGAAGGAGAAGATTCAACTTTATATTATCTTAAACTGCGTCCAGAGACGTTAACTGGCTAAATCCCGTCGGCGGGTGACGTTAGCCGTCAACAAGCGTGCTAACTTTCTGTCGTCTCGACATCAGGAAACCCTCCGAACATGTCGGACTGGGTCTGCTGCAACGCCTGCTTTCTGCCGCCCTCATCTGAGCGCAGAATGGCCCTCACCACGTGCGGCCACGTCGTGTGCAGTGTTTGCTACCACAAAGGTATATAACAAACCCTTCTGTGAAGTGTTTGAGAACGTTTGGGTTGGGAGGAGGGCATGTTTAGCCCCTCAATCTGTGTTTTTGACGGTCAACGTTTAGGGAAACAGAGACATCTGTTGAACGTGTTCTTATATTACAAAAAGCTGGATTTTCAACTCTAAAAGTAATCAATAAACAGGAATCTTTACCATCTCGTTTCATGAATACCTCAATGACAGCGTGTATTAAAAGTGAGCATCAGTGTTTTTTGATGCAGCTCACATGTACAGAGCCCGAGACATGTCCAGTTGATATAAATTGTGCACAGAACGCTGTATCTGCGAACAAATGGCAAATGTATCATGAATCTATCCAAGGCAGTTTGGTCAGCAAATCGAGCAAGACGAGGGCTGTTTATAAATCCAAGCTGAAGTGAGCTTCATTTGCTAATTCATGTTGTTCATGAGACTGACATTAATCTTTAGAGTTGTATTTCATGCACACGGTATCAAAGGCACAAACTGTGCCCACGATTTTGTATTTCGTGGCCACAAACTAGCATTTTGTACCCATGTTGCACCTACATTCCATCAGGTTTCTGACCTCATCACACAACAGAATCAGCTCTTATGAACGTACTAAATGATATAAGCTCGAACACCAACTACCTTTTGGGATGGTGTCAGTCCGAGGCTTATTGGACCCCAGTGCTGCATGATACAGTAGATCATAATATACTTTTGGAAACTAGGGTAGGACTTTAACAGTCAGGTCAGGGCCTACTTGGAGGAAATGAGTTGTTTTGTGGCCAAAGAAAGTTCTGAATCTGATCAAATGGCCATGATGTGTAGGGTCCTTCATGGATCAGTCCTAGCAAAACATTTTGTTCTGTCTGTATATGCGAACCTTGGGTCATATACTTCAGAATACCAATGTGGGCTATCATGGTATGCAGATGACACACAGCTGTATTCAGCAATGTCCCCAAATGACAGCATTTAAATTAAAGTCAAACATTTTCTTAACAATAAAGATGGAATAAGATGGCAAAAGAAGTGAAGTCAGCACCGAGTAGAAATGGTTTTAAATCCAGATGAAAAACCCTCCCCCCATCATAGCTATGTTGAAGGTCATTCAAAGATTTTTAAAAAAATCTTATTCTTGCACTGTATGTTATTTTAGTAAGATATTTAAAAATATCTTTACTTTGCTTTTAAATGCCTTTAACTCTTGTACTTTTGTAGACAGTATCTGAAGCACATTGAGTTACCTTGTGTATGAATTGCACTCTATAAATAAAGCTCCCTTTCCTTGCCTTGACTTGCCTGATTCATTGCAACATATTATCCCAATTTTGGCCACAATTTGTTTCTCATGTCATTTTCATAGTTTTTTTTGACATCTCCTTCAGGTAAACAAGGCAAGTGTTTGATCTGCAATGACAAATGTAAAGTGTTGCCTCTCACTGACCAAGTGAGTACATAATCTAAGTGTAACATTTGACTGCAAATTGACACCCGCAAATGTAACATTTTTGATATATATATATTTTTTGTCCAGAGTCGCCCAGAAGTGAAGGTGCTGTTCTCCAACATCAACATCGTGGCAAAAACACATTTGTCAGAGATCAGAAAAGTTTGTTCATTCATTTTTGCTTTGCATCTATTTTGTATTATTTATTTGTGAGTTCAGACTGTATTCATATTTCACATTTAAATGTACATTGGAACCTCTAATGTCAACAAACAACCATGGTCTTCTGTGACACATTGCAATCTCTAAATAGGGTTTTGCCCATGGAAATAATGTAAATACAAAATGTCGCCATCATAACACTATTCTGTACTGTGCAGAAATTAAGCACCCCTGCGCAGTCAATTAGGTGACCCCAATGTTATGGTATGTGTGTTGTTATGCTAATTGTCTCTGCTTATTCTCTTCAGGTTGTAATGTTCCAGGCCAAACATAGTCAAAGATTGCTGGCATACTACCAGAAAAGAGTGAGACATTTTCTCTTGCCCACCCTGAAACCACTTTACAGGCCTTTATCCCCATTTTGTTTTAATTTTTGAACAAAACAGAATGAGAAAGTGGAGGAGGGCTGGCTCAAGATGAAGCAGGAAATGCAGCAGATGGCCAAGTGAGTCAAATCTACTGATGCTATCACAAGGGGGGTGGATTTTTCTTTTTCTCTCTGTCACAGGAAGCTGAATGAACAGAGCGCTTACATCGCTAAACTGGAATATTCACTTCAAAGGTATTTGTGGCATCTTTATCCTGATAATTATGGAGGAAGTGCAATATTTCAACATTTCCACTTGGACTCCATTTTAGTCTAGTTATCAAAAAAAAGCCCAAAATCATTTTCAACTTTTTTTCAGTTATTGTCGATCGGCAGGGTGTTCTCTCCTCTACCACTTGGGTTCACTGTTTCCACATTTATTGTTAAGCACGTATGTTGCCAAAAAGAATATTACACAAAATAGGACAGACTCCTCTTGTCTTTTCTTCTTTTTATATTGATAGCTTTAAATTTGTGTGTTACAAAACGGAAATGGAATCTTAAAGACATTGGTCACTCTGAAGCACGAGTCTTTTTGTTTTTCCCGAGAAATGAATGAAACAGCCGGGTTACATTCATGGGTCACATTGACCCATGAAATATTTTCTTGGTGTAACCAAAGAAACAAACATAGCAAAAGTATAAAAAGAGTTTTTTTGTTGTTGTTTTGTTTATCTGTTTGTTCTTTTTAAATTCTATGAAATGTGTTTCTCAGAAAGTGGTAATAATGTCCCAGAGTTAATTTGACCAAATGTTACATCATCCAAAAGATATCTCACTAACATAATTCATCCATCCATCCATCCATTCTTTGAACTGCTTTTATCCTCATGAGGGTTGTGGGTGTGCTGGAGCCTATCCCAGGAGTCTTTGGTAAGTACACCCTGAACTGGTTGCGGCCAATCGCAGGGCACACGTAGACAAACAACCATTCGTACTCACAATCACACCTCGGGACAAATGAGAGCGTTCAATCAACCTACCATACATGTTTTGGAATGTGGGAGGAAACTGAAGTACCTGTAGAAAACCTACGCAGGCACGGCGGAGAACATGCAAACTCCACACAGGAAGGCCGAACCCAGAGGATTTTAGGTCACCCTGTGGTGGAGTCCCTGCGACTGGAGGCTGGGCTTGGCTCCTGGTGTGGATGCCCCCGGCCACCTAGAGATGGTGTGTCCTCACTTTGGTTTCCTGTGCTCAGTCATAAGTCTAATTTTTTAACAGTGCTTATGATAAGGTGCTGTACAAATCAAGTTGAATTGAATTTAATTGAATAACCTCTGGACTGAGGCGGACGTGCTAACCAGTTGACCTCCGTGCTGCCTGACCAACAAAATATCCCACCATTATTTATGACTCAATTACTCCCTGTTTATGTCAATATTTGTAGTTGATTACACTTCTTGGGCCACTATGTGTATTAAAATAAAAAACAAACATATGCATAGGGTCAATTTGACCTGCATTGCAACACGACTTCTTTTTACATTGAAATAACTTGGTTGAAAGCCTGTTTGATCATTTTTGGCATTGTTTAAACCTCCTATTACATTCAATTGCCAGGCACCGCTGTAATGTACCGAGGTCAAATTGACCCGTTTTTTTTTTTCCTTGGGATATTCAAAAGGGTCAGGAACGAGAACAAAATACCCATAAATATTGTTTATCTCCATTGTTAGTGTAGTATATTCATCAGTATTCATAGTTGACTTCAAGTCAATTTGACCTGCAACACAACATGCAGGTTAAAGAAGGTATTTCGAGAAAAGTTGAATGAAATCCCCCACGATTGTTTTTACGAATGTCGTCACCCAGTTTTGATGAATAGCATCATGTTGAATGAATAAGTGCTTTTATGGAACGGTTTTGTCTTGCGCCACCGCATCCAGTGACCTTGCACATATGGCAAGCGCCTCACAGTGTGGTCTTTGTGCGCCACCATCGCAATCTCGACAAGCATCTTCCCGCTTTGTCTCCCTCTGGAACGCCATGAGGATCATCCTGTCGACTTCTGTTTCTTTGCAATCAGAAAACAAAATCAAGAACTGAGTGGTACAATTTGTTTCATGGCTTTTATTGTGGAAGCTGGCATCCAAGCCTAATGTCACAGGGGACTTTGTGACCCCACTACTGATGTTAATTGTTTGACCTGAGAGCAATTGTTTTTGTTTTTTTTCTTGAAGAACAAGTATTTAAACTAATACGTTTGTTTATTCTGTGCAATCCCTCCAGTTTAAAGTCATCATCGATGTCCCAGATGAGCCACAGCTCCCAAAGCTTGCATGGAAAACAAGGTAGACAAACTGTTGTTTGCCAACAACAAAAAATTGTTGGCTAAAATAGCTGGAACCGCATGGTCAGCCTACCTCCAGATGTTTATGATCCTGCATATCGCAGTATACTCTGGATTGGTCGCCAGTGAATTGCAACCCATGTCTCGACAAAAAGCCATTCACACTCACATTCACAGCTGTGGCAATGTACAGAGTTCCCGGGAAGATTCGAACTCCGACTTCCTTACTGTGAGGCAAACGTGCTCACCACTAAATCACAGTCATGTCCAAAACTCCCAGAAGCAACCAGGCAAAGATTACATTACAGTGACCACCCACATGGAGTTTTAGTCACAAAGATGGCAGGTCTTAATGATAATTGTTGTAATTATCCAAATAATACAAATGTCTTTTAAGTTGCCAGGAGGCATTTTTCCTTTTGTGTGTGTGTGTGTGTGTGTGTGTCTCACTATTCCTTCTTTGCTTTAGTCCTGCAGTTCCCCTTCAGCTCTCCCATGCCACTCTCCAGACATTCCTCAGCCAGCAACATGTGAGTGCCATGAACCCAGTTTTTGACAGCGTGCGCGCTCTCACACACACACACACACACACACACACACACACACACACACACACACACACACACACACACACACACACACAAAACATGCACACAGAAAATCCTCGCTTTACCTGGCATCTTAGGTTAGCTTTAGCCACTGTAGATCTTTGCTCTGCCCTGCCTATCAATACACACACACACACACACACACACACACACACACACACACACACGCACACACATATATGTGTGTGTGTGCTTATATATATATATATATATATATAGATAGATAGATAGATAGATAGATAGATAGATAGATAGATATATATATAGAAACAAGCCCAGCTTTGCTTGGCTTCAGTCACCAATCCCTATTGGGTTTCTCGGACCTCATCGACTCAGACCTCCATTGGATGCCTGGGTTTTAACAGTGCAAATGTTATTTTATCCTACGTGACTTTTAGATTCTCGCGCCCGAGCAAAAATTTCTCCCGTGACTCATTGGCAGATATTATGTCAGTCAGCACTTTTTACTGCAGGCCTCGCTCTGAGGCCAACACCATAGTTTATTTATTTACTGTTTGTCCTGGTTTCAGCTTTGCAATGTCCTTAAGTTTAAACCCCAAAATTTCCTCAATACAGTATAATTGTTTTTTACTATCAGATGAAGTAGTTAGTAGTTCTTTTGGCCGAAAGCCCTCTAATTGCCTTTTTGTGCCTGAAAAATATTCACAAGCACATTCATCCTTGTAAAAATTTTAATTAAGTTTTGCCTTGGTTTAAGAGTTTAATTTGTTCCATAAAAATGCTTGTAATTTAAATTGCACATTTCCCAAATCAAGTTTCCCTATTGAAAGGAATAGAAGTGCCCTTAATCAGTTCTAGCCGCCCTAAAACCTGACACAATTTGTTGTTGCATTTTTAACAAAGAAAAATTGCACTGCATTGTAAAATAGAAACATGAAAAGAGATAGTAATAAAATAAACTAGTTTTAGGAATTCTATTTCAGTCAAAAATCACCCCCGCACAAACTGTAGTACATCGGTGTTTGTCAGAGATGGGCACTTTACCTGATTTTCACCTGTCTGCAACCTGGGTACACACTTCTGTCATCGTCCCTCCGTTCTTATTCATATAGTAATCCTCGTCCGTCCTTTTAAAGAGTTTTTGTCCCAATCCGCACCCCAATTCCCCCAACCTGGTCACCAGAGCCCAGCCTTAAGGGGAGCACATTAAATGCATGGTGGTGGTGGGCTGTGTGTGTGTGTGCGTGTGTGTGTGTGTGTGTGTGTGTGTGTGTGTGTGTGTGTGTGTGTGTGTGTGGGTGGGCGTTCTATTTG